ACCAGTGAGCTTCAATTGCATCCAGTGAGTGTATATCCAACTCGCATGACAGCGTACTTTGATAGGCGTTCAGAACAGCTGGCTTCGCCATTTGACTGGTGTCAATGCGCTCACAACATCTTCGCGGGCGTCCGCCAAAGCGCATCCGCAGGTCAGCACATACAAGTGCATGATCGGTGTCAACACCTGTGCTCCAAAACGAGCGACAGTTCTGGACGCAGTCTCTCCAGCGGTAACTGATAGTAATGTGATCGATTTGCGTCCATAGCTGGTTCGAGGCTGGTGGGCGCCAAGTCACCCACCGGCGGGTGCTGTGTCGGAAATTAGTGCTCGCAAGAAATAAGCGAGCATCCTCACACAAATGAAGTAACCGCTCACCGTTATCATTACGGGAGCCTATATCATGTTGGCCGCCCAGATGCAGCTCAGCTGTGGATAATTTTCCAACTTGAGCGTTCAGATCCCCAGCCAGCACTACAGTGTCCGAGTTTGTTCTGTGTCGAAGGAGTTCGTTCAGTTGGCGATAGAAGTCGTCTTTTACCGAGTCAGCGCTAAAGTTTGTAGGTGCATAGGCAGCGCAAACGAATAGACACCTGTTAGTCACACGCGACTTCGAAGTTTTGAACGAGCCAGCCAATCGGACTGCACACATGCGGCTACTGATTGGAATCCAATCAACCAGAGCAGCTTCAGCCCGGGGACTCAGGGCAATACCAACACCGGCTTGGCCGGTGCTCGAAGCTGCATCGTCACCGGATAGACGCAATAAGAAAGTGCTGCTAGTGTCACCTGAGGGGGATGATAAAGTGAGCACAGAGCTCGAGTCTTGCAGGCGGGTCTCCGATAAGCAGCAGATATCGATCGAGAGGGTCTCTAATGTTCGGGCAAGTGCTGCCTGTTGACCGATCTGAAGCAATGTGCGAACATTGAGGCATGCCAGTCTGAAGGAGGATCGAGGGCTCCAAATGGAAGCCGATGAACTGGAATGGGCCGCTTGCTTGGACATGGGCTTGTTGACAGGACAGGAATGACGCTCTGCGTTCCCCTGTGAGTTGAAACTAAAAGACAAGCGACTATTGAAGCAAGGTGGGGGAAGGCCGAGAATTAGGGGGTTGAAAACAGGGGGAAAATGGAAGCTGGAACGGGACGATAAGAGTGAAAAAGCGCAAGAAGGGGTATAAGAAGTTGGGAAGGCCTGAGCAGTATCCTCCAAACCCCTATACACCCTGCTCGATGAAGCAGACAGGGCACCGATGATTATCCTCTGCGGTGGCCAGAGCATCAGTGGTTTCGGTTTATGGTTCGTTTTTGTAGACTCTTATGTCGTAGATGTTTCCAGTTGCAACGATTCCGGAGTAGTAGAATTAGATGAGGGGGAAGGGGCGCTCGACGGATCTCTCATGTCCGCCTTGGGTTTTGCCGCTTCTTTAACCCTATTTCGCCTTCTTTAGACAATGGCCGAAACCTGATGCTCGCCACCGCTAACAGCCGAATCAAACACGCTGTCCGAGGGTTCGTTACTAACCACGCCGTTGATAACAGGTAAACTGACATTCAACAGTGAACAAATAGAAGCAGGATCTGACAACTTGCCAGTGGCTTCTGGCAAGTTGAACACGGACATCAGGGAAACCCCTCTTTCTCCCGCGTCTCCGTCAACCGCCTGTTCTGTGGATATAGCCACGACTTCCCAAAATGGAAACCAGGACAATGATACAAATGCAATTCCCCTGGTTTGTAAAATTCAACATGAAAGAGAATTGGGCTAAGCAATCAACATCCTGTAACGGTAACATTTATCATACCGTAAAAATAGCAACTTACAGTTTCCCAAAAACGTTGCTACGCCTGCCATGAACACAGGGATACTGCATGTACCGGTACGGGTACTCACCTGGCAACCCCTTCCACCTTTGCCGTTCATTATGCTGTGCAGTCACAGCCGTGTGCTTGCAAAAAGATATGACAATTGCAAATTTCTTTACATCGGACTCAACCTCATCAAGTTTTCTATAACAGTACGCACCAAAAGACATAAAATCCCAGATTCATCCACCATGATGACAGTTACAAATGTGGCGCCAAGTGATTTCCAATACTCCTGTAGTCTATCGCAACAACTAACTATGAGAACCACATTAACCTTCTTCAATACAAAACACACACCGAGTTAAAATGTGTATACTATATATAAATACATACCGCCTTCTAATGGCAACCTCTCCAGTTGGCCTAGCATACCTACTGAACCGAACCCGCAGCTAGGCAAATCTCAGATGTGCGAGTCCCGGTCCGTCTTCCCGCCGAGCAGCAAAGTGGAAACGAAGTTCAGGCCCTCTTCCCCAGCATCGAAAAGAAAGGAACCATCCATTTTTGGTCATACCTGAGTTGGTGTGCCTCGATGAATTTGAGAATAAAATATCTAGTTATTTATTTATTTACTTTAGAAACGCTTGGGTCTCCACTAGCCTTTCAACCGAGGATACCTTAATAGAATCAGGGGCGTTTCCGATGAGCAGATACCTTTCCCTTTCGGGGAATCGGTTTCCTTCACGTTGATGCGGCTTTGTGGGTAAGGACTTGAATTAATCATATTCTCCAACTGGTTCACTTCATCGATAACATTTTTTAACTAAGACTGAGAAGAGTACGGATAAAACAAAGACTGTGCTACCTTCGTTTTCCAATTATTCGGAGGAGTTTCTGGTATCATGGGTACCGGAGTTACGCTGCTACCCCCCACCACTGCATAAGTCCGTTCCTTGCGTTCTTTGAACTGCTAGTCAATTGCCGATTGTTCAGGGGATGAAAATAAGAAACAAGATTTTGCCTTCCAGGGTGAGTCATTGGGCTAGAGGCAGATGAAGGCAAGCTGGGTGCAGCCTAGCATCCTCTTCTTTTGCGCAGAAAGCAGGCATAAGGGGCTTGGACTGTTTGAAGATTGACCATTAGAAACAGTCTGACACTCGACCAGCCAGGCAATGGCCACAAATAAAAACGGCGACTGAGCAAGTGGTCCTCTGCACTGGATGGTACCGAAATGGGCCGATGTTACAAGCTGCAATATGCAGCCGCCCTTCATAGAAGGGACATTGTACAGCTTCCGACTGAGAATTGACAGCCTTACAACAATACAGGCAGTTTGAGGACATTGTATCCCTTATTCAGTAATTTCCGAACGCATATTCAAGACGGTAAGGAAACGCAGCCGAGCTGGCCATCCGCAGGTCCGCCGGTCTGCGAATCGTGTAGTCAATAGCTGGCATGAGCAATCGCCAGCATTAATAGAATGCAGCACAGTAGAGGCCTTTAAACGAGGCCTGAACAGGTGCTGGTCCAACTTTTTCCAGAATTAGTATAATTTTATTGCATGTTGCTGTAACCTCGTACTGCATGCCAGTACAGAGGATGCATTTGTCTGCTTCAATCTTTCGGAGAAGCCGCGAAGTTCATCGGACGTTGAATCACCGTGAGGTCTTGTTCGCTTACCGATGCAAGAAACAGAACGCTGGTTAGGCGAGAGCCTGTATCCTCCTTGGAAGCTGGCTTGAATTGACTTGAACTGGGTGTGATACAAGTGTTCCGTTTTATATCCGTGCAGACATTCGAGCACCTCATCAATTCCAGCCAAAACGAAGCACTCAAGATGCGCCACTTCCAGAGTTCTCCCTTAGTTCCAGTCCACTTGAAGTGCAAGGAAGAGAGCAGGGTGTACGTGTGGGTCGCAGATTATCCTTTAAGCAAGTGGTCCTTAGCGGTGTCCCACAGGGCTCGGTCCTTGGACCGATGCTGTTCTCCATCTACGTAAACGATCTCCCTGGAGAGCTTGGGGTATCATCCTTATTGTTTGCTGATGACCTTAAGCTATGGAATGTTGTAAATGTTCTTGGGGGTTCTGAGACCATACAGCTTGCACTGGACAGACTCTGGGACTGGTCTACTTTGTGGCCACTGCCCATAAATCAGGCTAAGTGTTCCGTCCTTCGTATAGGAGCAAATTTCCCGGCTTCGAGCTACGTACTCGGTGGGGTCGAACTCCCCCTTGTCTCCAACCAGATAAATCTAGGTGTCGTTCATTCCTTGTCTTTGCATTCTGGTGACAACTGGAAGAAGGCCTCTAGTAGGGGTTTCAAAATGTTGTGGTTTATACGCAGTTCTTTCGGGGTCTTAACTGCCGACATATTTGTGAAGCCGTTCTCAGCTTTCGTTCGACCCCATCTGGAATACTGCGTCCAGGCTTGCGCGCCCTGCCTTGTTCGGGACAAAATGGAGCTTGAGAGGGTTTTGAGAGTAGGTACCAAATTGGTCGAGGGGTTACGGGGGCAATCGTACCCCGAGCGTCTACTTAGCTTGGGTATGTATTCAATGCACTACCGACGGCTTCGAGGAGACCTAATCCTTACTTACCGCATTTTAACAGGGAAGGTTGGACCGGACTTGCGCTGGCTATTTGGCCCGGCTAGGTTGCCTTGTCTTCGCGGTCATCCCATGAAGCTACACAAGCCGCGTTCTGATGGAATCAGGGCGGAAACTCGGTTATCGCGTAGAGTTATCGAGTGCTGGAACTCGCTTCCAGAAAATGTAGTCAGTGAACCTACGGTTAAGGGTTTCGAGCGTCAGTTAGACGCTCTTGGGTGGCAACACGAAACCTTTCCCTTCTCCTAACCATATCCATCTTCAAACGTTCAGTTCTTATTCTGTCATTATCTTCACTCTTTGGTGTTATCCTTCATTTTAATGACTATCATTCCCCTTTATCTTCCATTTACTTTCTACTTCTTTCTTGCTTCACGTAACCTACACAGCGCGGACTGCTAGTGCAGGGAACGTGGGCAGCAGTTGGTTGATCAGGGTGTTTTACGGGAGTTTCGTTTTAGATCTATCAAGAACTAACACCTTATCATTTCCTGGCTCAACGATTTGCTCAAGAAGGAACACTCAAGGGATTTTCCTATCGTTCCAGTCCATCTGAATCTGAATCTGAATTTGAACACTACCGTAACGTTGCCAGCGTGACTGACCTTGACCCAGCTGACCCTCCGTCGTCTTTCCTCATGGATTCTCAGGCTGGCGGTAGGCCCGATGCGCCGGTATCTCACTTCTTGCTTATTAACCCATGTTAGTGTTTGTTGCCTTTGATAGCGAAGGCCGTCAAGTTATCTCAAGAGTTGCCTACTGTTAACACGCCCGCTTTCGTTTATTACAATGACTTTCCTCATTATAAAGCGGTGGCTGCTGGACAATCAAGACGTATCCTTTCAGTGTAATTGCCGTGATTAACATCTCACTTTCGTAGTATTCAGAAAATGTTGGATATCCTGGACGCTAAGTCCAATGTTCTCGATATCACGAATACGAATTCTCGAGAAAAGTTCTCTTCTATCGTCGACGCTAATGATAGACTCCTTGAAAGACTGGTGAGTTCGGCTTACTTACTTTTGATGTTATTCTCAATGTAGTCAATGGCAATGGACTTCGAAGAAGATCCTAGTCGAAAGTCGTCTAGGCTTACTGCCCCCGAGTCCCTTGTCGTGGCTGTTGAGAAAAGACAGCACACTTCTCTTGAGTGGTTGAAAAATAAGTCAGAGGTATTTGTCGCAAGAATGTTTAAACGACTTATGTTAGGCGCAAGATTCTGATGGGTTGTTGAGGCTACTCAGTTCTACCCATGTTCGCCGACCTCAGTCTTTGTTTTCTACCCCACCGGACAATTCCGCTTCACCCTTCAGGCCTAGATTAGCCTACAAACCCAATGCAATTCGCTCACTTTCACGTAACTTCTACTGAAACTTTATAATTTTTTTCGAAAGTTTCTCTTCCAGACCAACTTCCTGATGATGAAGAGTAAGATTGATTCCTGTTTAATCTGTCGTCCTAGGGCTCCTCATCCGTATGAAGCAGAGCTAGCGTTTTTCGCTACTGCTTTAGCGAACTGGGAGCCTCTGCAGGTTACCAGTCTTCCAGCACCATTAGACACCAACTACCAGTTTATCGATCAGCCGGATGCTCTAGATATGGCAATCAAAGAACTTTCCACTCATTTGGAAGTTGCGGTAGACCTGGAGGTGAGTTATCTTCACTATCCCCATAGTTTGGCTTATTTCTATTACTCCATTTTAAACAATAGTTAAGTAAACATGAATAACTATAGCCTAACGAAATAACTTTTCACCGTATCTTTAGATGGTCGTTCATGCATATTTTTACAAGGTGTCTTTTTACTTCGAGCGCTCAAAACCTCTACGCTTCGTCTGAAGAGATTCCACTCGCCTCTTCGTTACGTTCATGTGACCAGTGCTAGAGCACGGCTTACCCGCATACTGTCCTATAACCCGGTGTGGTACAAAGGATTAAGAGGGTACGTATCACCACTGTGCCCTACGAAGACCGGTGCAAGAGACTAGGACTTCGCACACTATCTTATCATCCAATGCGGGTTGATCACATTTTGACGCATCAGCTGCTGTATCTTGGTGATTACTCTATGTTTAGACCATTGCTTCTTGTGCGCATACCGTGCATCACACGAGGACACTGGCACAAGCCTGTCGTACTGGATTTGAAACGGGTTGCTCACCAATTCTGCTTCGAACAGAGAATAATGAATATATAGAACAACTTTCCGCCGCACGGAGTCAAAGTAAAGTCGGTGTTTTGATTCGAAAAATTCCTTGACAAACTTTGCCGACATGAAATATCGGGAATGCGGCTAGACAGAATATATATATATATATATATATATATATATATATGTATATATATATATATATATTCTGTCTAGCCGCATTCCCGATATTTCATGTCAGCAAAGTTTGTCAAGGCTGAGGTTGCATTCTTGATGCTTCTTCACCGCAGTTGGGCTAAACCAACTTACACTTAAACTAGGTCTTTTTAAGCTGGATAAATTTCATTCCTGCTTTATTTGGTTTGTTCTGCCTCCCTGAATAATGTTCTATTAACTGGCCACATTGCTTACACTAATTGCGCTTATCTTCGGTAATTTTGTTGCGTTTGTAGCATTTTAAGTAACTTGTGAACATTTCTTACTTATCACGGATTTGTTGCTAACCAACTTACTTCATATGGTAATTTAGCGAAGAGTTATGCCACCGTATCTGTATGCATTATTGGATTTATTTTTATTTCAGCTTGTCGTTTAAAGTTAATGGGTGTTGTTTGATATCCCTGGTATGGTTGCGCTTGATGTGCATGTTGACAAGGTGCCTACCTGTCTATTACCCACTACATCGTTCGTACTGGCTCCAGGAGACAGTTGGTCGTTGATGAAGGGGACGGGGTGCACGGTTCTTGTGGCCGTGCTAGGCTCAAAGAGCGGTTCCATGCACTCAGTGTGGAGCGGACTACGGTCCAGCCACCGCCTTGTGTGCGGTTGATTCCCCAAATACAGCGTGCTTGTGTTTGCCTGTGAAGGAGTGTGGGCCGGCTCCGTTGATGAAACGTGGTTCCCATCCGCATGCCTCCCGGTCTTATTCCTTCGGGTTTACACTGGATATGGGGTATGTGGTTGGAGCTGTGGGTGGTGCAGCGCAAGCCATCCATGGTCCCTCTGTAGGCGCAGGCGTCCTGTGGCTTGCCACAGTGACAGGCAAATCCGAAACCGGATGCCGCCAACCATGTATGTATGTGTGCCCCATGCTGAGGCTGATGTTGCATTCTTGATGCTTCTTCACCGCAGTTGGGCTAAACCAACTTACACTTAAACTAGGTCTCTTTAAGCTGAATAAATATCATTCCGCTTTATTTGGTCTGTTCTGCCTCCCTGAATAATGTTCTATTAACTGGCCACATTGCTTACACTAATTGCGCTTATCTTCGGTAATTTTGTTGCGTTTGTAGCATTTTAAGTAACTTGTGAACATTTCTTACTTATCACGGATTTGTTGCTAACCAACTTACTTCATATGGTAATTTAGCGAAGAGTTATGCCACCGTATCTGTATGCATTATTGGATTTATTTTTATTTCAGCTTGTCGTTTAAAGTTAATGGGTGTTGTTTGATATCCCTGGTATGGTTGCGCTTGATGTGTATGTTGACAAGGTGCCTACCTGTCTATTACCCACTACATCGTTCGTACTGGCTCCAGGAGACAGTTGGTCGTTGATGAAGGGGACGGGGTGCACGGTTCTTGTGGCCGTGCTAGGCTCAAAGAGCGGTTCCATGCACTCAGTGTGGAGCGGACTACGGTCCAGCCACCGCCTTGTGTGCGGTTGATTCCCCAAATACAGCGTGCTTGTGTTTGCCTGTGAAGGAGTGTGGGCCGGCTCCGTTGATGAAACGTGGTTCCCATCCGCATGCCTCCCGGTCTTATTCCTTCGGGTTTACACTGGATATGGGGTATGTGGTTGGAGCTGTGGGTGGTGCAGCGCAAGCCATCCATGGTCCCTCTGTAGGCGCAGGCGTCCTGTGGCTTGCCACAGTGACAGGCAAATCCGAAACCGGATGCCGCCAACCATGTATTGCAACAGTCTATGAATAGACATTGCACCATCGGAAACCATGGAACTCGAAACAAGGTACAGAAATAGTAAAAGAAAACACAACACAACACAACAATGTCCACGGTTTCGTCGGAGGGCGAAATACTACCCAGTTGCCCAAGCCGAAGTAGGGTGTTGACTTAGGTGACACCACCCCGCGCCTTTGTTTGAATGGCCTGTCCGCAAGGCACCGGAGCGAATCCAGGGAATCGCGCCCATTGGGAGCCGGTGACTGATTGATCAGTTCATACGCCTTTCGTTTGTTCTTTTGCCAAACAGGGGCCCAATGCTCCCCGAAATTACAGCATCAACTTGCTGGAATACAATGCTTCGCCAGGATGAAGCAAGGGGCAGTGACTTTATTTAGTGGCGATTCACGTCCGCCACGTCCCAGTGTTGTTAAACGGACAGATGTGGCTTTTTATAGGGAGAACGCTTGCCAGGCGAATACCCACCACGTCCTGGAACACTGCCGCCGAACCATTTGCTGGAACGGGAAAATCCCGAACCACCCAGCTGGCACCACGAGGAGGTTGTTCGGCAAGCCAGCTAGACAGAAACATCTTACTGATTCCACTTATCCTCGCCTATTTTGCAGCATTTATTGTTCCGAGTAACCTCAGGTTCAGGGTATTTGTGCTCAAATTCCTCCTTTTCTATTAATTGGGGGGAAAATCATTCTTCGGTCTTGTCTTAGTATTTCATTGCACATAGTACTAAGTACGCTTGGTATTTTGGTTACACTGATTAGGTACGTCATCTGCATATGCGCTTGTCCAAGTCGCGCCGTTATACTCAGCATTCATTCGTCGATGAAACAACATTCGTTGCCAAGCAAACTACCGTCCCGAGACCGATTAGGCGCATTTGGAATTCCATCTTTGCATGGACTCCTGGAACAGATGTGCCAACAATTAATCTGCAAGTCTTCTCTTGCTCTATCTCCAGGGGACGATAATATCAAACTTGTGTCATGTTAGATTTCTTCGCCTTTTCAATACCGAAGTTTAAAATGGTTCATTATGTGCTATTGTAGTTTCTAATAGTAGGAACATGATTGCAGCAATGTGCCCCCTTTGTTTCCCTCATGTGAAGTTTGTCAAGTGCACCAACCCGTCTACTCCATATTCAAAGTGGAATGCACACTGACGATGTGAAGGGTTCGCCGAGTTTACATAATCCTTTAGACCTCATAATTGTTCGCGTACGATGATCACTTTTAAGCTGTTTTCCCGCTGTTATGTTTTTTGCTCTGCTTTCTAACCATATTCATTACGTTATCTGACGTGCTTTCTCGTATGCTTTTGCATTAACATTGGAGTTAACCTCAGGATGAGCTTCGTTATTCCTAGTCGGGTTGAAAACAAACAGGCTTATTCAGCCACATTCACTTGTCACTAATAGAGCAAATAGGAAAACTTTCTTGTTCTGCGTGCCTATGAAATTTTGGTTCTCGGTTGATAATTGATAATGATACGCCACTACTCTGGTTGGGCAATGAGTTATTTAAATATGGCGTTTCCACCCTGAGGATTTTTCGGGTTGATAAGCCAGAGATGGTGTCACTATATTTGAGTGTGATTTTGTTGAACAATGGCCTATGCCAAATACTATTCAACGAAAATTTGAACGCCCCTTCAGCTAACGCACGCAGCTTTTTACGCCATATCTATTAGGAAGGAATTAGCTAGCCATCTTTTTTGATTTCTGCTATTTCATGATTAATTACATCTCGGGAGATGTATCACCCAACCGTGGATGGTCACCAGTTTCTACCGTTCTTATTAGTTACTGTTATCTGACTATTTCTAACTAGAAATCGCCAACCCTAAACTATCTGTCTATCTACCTTCAAAGCCTCGTCGCGTGTTCTTTTATTCTCCGTCCTATCTTCGCAGCTGTTATTGCATTTATGTGACTGGTCAAAGCAGTTACCTCCACCTTATTTCGGTGCAGCGATCCTAACTCGACACTCGGACTGGGATAATTATTACTGGCTTCATTATTTTACACTCTTTTACTTCCCTGTCGTTTGTGGTCTCTACTATTCAGTTTGATCAGGGAACTGGCTCATACGATTCACCACACTTAATTAATTCTCATTTACAAATCCTCTTAGGGATAATCAAGGCTTCAGTAGCCGTTGGTTGATCATGAGTGTTACTCGTTGTTCAAGGCATCTGCTACATTGTTTGATAGTGATGTTTCGGTGTTCATCATAAGGATTGACAGCTTGAATATCGGTCGTTGGAGTATATAAACTGGAGCTCAGTTACTGGTTACAATGATGCCCAGTAAGAATAGCTCTGGCTACCGGTTATTCATAAGTGCGAGAGTTGCCGGACCCAACTCGTATTATGCAGAGCTGCAAGAAACTATAGATTATCAAGAGCACGGAGGGAAGTAGCGCCCGACTCGCAAAGAAATTGAAAATGACTGGGAGGTACAATCAATAAAACAACTGGACGATCGGAAGATACAAAGAACAATGTCACAAAATAGCGAAAATATAAATGTTTCACATCCACTACGGGGCCTCCCTCTAGAAGGCTGAGTGAGTGAAGT